CCTAAAGGTGCTGGTGACAATATTACTGTGATGTGGGGATGGCCTGCCTGAGAAAGGAGCCAACAGGGGGGACAGCAAAGACAAGAGATACCTGAGAGCTGCATATGAGCACCTGGATTCACCAGAACCAGTTTCTAACGGATGCACCACTGGCATGTGGGCAGGGCATTCTTCAGTGTGTGGACTGTTGTACACTTTGCAAAATGTTCAACATTTCCGGTTCCCACCAGCAAAACGTGGGTAGTTTCTCCAGTCATCATAACAACCTGAACCCCCTCCACCACTTCCGCACATCTCAGATAACTACCCTTGGCTTTTCAATTATTGAGTCAAGAATCTCATTTTACTTATTCCAGCTGTTTTCTGACATTTTCAAGTGAAAGGGCCTGCATTAATAACACTCTGTCAGTCTCGTGCCTGTGACTCAGTCCTTAGCATGCCAGTTGATCATGATGTAGCCCGTCAGAGCACAGAACTGGCTCAGAGGAGCCAGTGGCGACACAGACACCCAGTAACATGGACCACTGGAGCATTGCCAGATTCTGGTCCTAGAAAACAGCACAGGGGACAGGCCTCCGCATGGCTGGGCCAGCTTTGGAGTCGGGTGACACCAATTTGACCTGAATCAGGCAGCTCCAACTCACAGGACCAAGATTCACTCTCCCATGGGTGAGTGTGGCTCCTCTGAGAGGTTAAGAGGATCACTTGGAAGTGTAACATCAAGTGGAAATGAGAGGATAACTCCACCAACTCAATCAATAAGGATCCTGACAAGACCCACAGTGATGGTGCCGGGGTCAGTGAGACTAGCCGGGGCTGGCACTGGCTTGGGGAGGGAAGGGCCAGGGCCCAGCACTTCCTCTGAGCAGGGCAGGCTTTCGGAGGGTCTGGGTTCTGCCTCTACATGTACATCTGAGCAGGAGGAGAGGAGTTCATCTCCGTCTCGGAAGGGATCTCGGGAGGATCTCACTCCCCTTGCCCTCTGGCATAGGCCTAGGTAAACTCCCTTGGGTACAGCTCCGAGCAGGCCACTCCTGGCTAACAGCCCCCCACAGCGCCCCTGCCTGTGTGACACAGCACAGCCCCCCGGTGGCCAGGCCCCTGTGTACCACCTCATCCCGAGGTGGCCATACACCAGGCTCCGAGCACCGTGCTCCTCTGTTTCTCCATCTGGGGAACTCAGGGGCTGGTTAGTGCAGACAGAGAGGAAGTGGTGGCTGCCACAATCCTTTCAGGGTTTCTGCTGCGTTCAAGAAAAAGCCAGATGTCCTGGCTCTGCCACTCATTTAACGCGGAGCTCATGAGATAACCCTAGCAAGTCTACTTCTTCATTTACAAAATGGCCATGTGTAAGGACACAGTGGGATAATGTTTGTGAAGATGCTTTATAAATAAAAGATTTTGGATAGTATCTCAGACCCTCCATTTGGAAAAACCCAGTCCCTGCCTGTCCCCCAAAAGTAGACCCTAAGGAGAGGGCTCCCAGGGGCCTCACTCCCTCTCCTGTGAATCCTTATGGGACTGTTCAGGCGTCTCTCCCACACTGGCCTATCCCATTCACAGTCATGTGTGTTGTCTTCACAGCTCTGGGGGAACTGACTGCACTCACCCCTCGTCGTTGGCCCTACAGCACCCAGTGTGGCCCCTTGTGGGGAAGTTTAGATGAAGGGCTGGCCCACTGAGTTTCTCCCCTGGGAGAGAAGACCCAGTGCTCCCTCAGGGAAAATGTGCCCCCATGTTGGTGTTAGTTACAGGCAGAGATGCAACTTTTGCTTACAAAGTTCCCGGGGACGAAGGCCTCACTGACGCCCCAGGTCACTGGTGGGTGATGGGAAATGTCTCTGCTTTGGGCTGAGCGGTTGAGCTGCCCCAATGAGCATGCTGCTCTCCCAGTGGAAATCAGTCCTGTTTGTTTCTTTAGTATGGATTCAGAACACGGGGAGTGTTATGGGATTTGAATGTAAAAAGGCACCAGGCCCTGAGGGGCTGCCATGTCCATCTGTACAGTCAGACTCACTGGGCTGGCCTGCCGGGCACTCCGTCCTGACAGACTGTGGTGGGCACTGTCCACATGTCCTGGGCACTGTCCACGTATCCTCTGGCCCTGCTCTTTCCGTGCTCCCATGCTTTATACATTACAGCTACAGAGGCATAGGGTTAGCACCCAGCTTTGGACTTGGAGAAGGAGACTTGAATTTGAGTCCCATGAGCTATGTGATTTGGAGCAATTAATTCAACCTCTTCTAACCCTGATTGCTCACGTAGTAAGTGAGGGTAAGAGCATCTTTCACCAGCCCTGAGGGAAGAGTGTGTAAGCCCATGATACACTTCCTTACTGGAGTGCTGGGCCCTCACTCTCTCCCCACCAATAACTCATGATATGTTATTTGATCTTGTACAGGTTCATTTAATTTTTACAGAAGAGTGAAGTGGTTCTTTGCTAAGCTGCTTTCTAGCTCAAGCATATATATATGATAGTCATAGTCAAAAAATATAGGCATCATGTTGCCCAAGAAAGCCATGAGAGTCTATTTCAGAAAACACCTTACGTGTCGGCTGCTAGGGCAGAGGGCTGTCTGGATGATTAGAGTCAGGCCCACCCTTCTGGAGGTTGGCAGTCAACTCAAGTCCCTCCTGTTGGTGGCTTCGAGGCACCCTCTACTCTGTGATCCAGAAAACATCCAGGGCACCCCAAGGGCAGCCGAACAAGAGCAGAGCAATGAGAGTGCTGGTCTCAGAGGTTAATACCAGCCACTCCTGGTTACCAGGAACCTGAATAACTCCTGACACAAAAAGCTTTCCCACAAGAAAGGAACATGAATCATTTGCAGAAAGTCAAAGGAGCAGACCTTTCAGGCAAACGGGGCCCTGGGGGAGCTAGGGGTCCTTTTTGACCAGCCTGTGGTGCGATTCTTGCCCCCGAGCCAGTGGGTCTCTGGTGTGTGCTGGGTCGGCTGACATCCTGTCTTCCCAGTGGCCCCCACCCTGACACAGACCCCATATCCCCAACAAGGGAGCACTCTGATGTGACAGGAGTGTGTGCCAGCAGGGGCCAGTGGGTCATGGGCGATGTCTGCTCAGTTCTGCTTCTGCAGAGCTGGGTGTTTCTGCTCAGGCCCTCTTGGCCCTGCCCCACCCTCACTGTTCCCATCACCCAGACACAAGACCTCTCAATGTTCGTTTTTATTTAAAGACTCAGAAACACAGGCATCATAGTTTGTCATCACTGTAAATTCTTCCAAAGTCACACACTGACATTTGTATATAACAAAAACATTGGTGTGTGTGTGTGTGTGTGTGTGTGTGTGTGTGTGTGAACTGTGCAAAGTACAAGGACATCCCCAGCCAGGCTGCTGAACTTATTTGGGGCACCAGAGTCAGGGGAGCTCTTCCCTGGCTCTGTCTCCCCACATCCCTTCCATGGTCCTCTGGTGGCTCCATGTCCCCATCACCTCGGTGCCCATGGACCTCCCTCAATGGTGGCCGTGGACTCCACTGTGTTCCTCAAAGCAGGTCGTCTTGGCCGCCAAATGCCACTGCACACCCAAGATGTGTAAGTCCCTGGGCCAGGATGGGTGTGAGGGTTTCAGACAAGGTGCTGCTTCACCTTAGAAAACAAAATGAGTGTGTCCTTCGAGGCAAGATGGCCTGAAGGGAGGGTCTAAGCCTGCTCCTGCGCTTTTCCATGGGTTGAAGGGTCATGAAGGCCAATGGGTCTGGTCTGCCTGAGTTTGCTTGAAAATACTCAGCCTAAAGCATGGTGCCTACTGTGGACCCGCCTGCCCTCTGGGTGCCTGGCATGTGCCCTGGGAGCCCCTCCTGAGAGGATGCATGGCTGGCTGGGCCTATGGCATCGCTTTCCTTCCCAGGCCAGTTCCAATGGCTGCCCCTGACTCTGCCACGAGCGAGGCCAGCTGATGCCTCGCACACACACGGGACACCGGCCCACTCTGCCGTGAGGGGTGCTGGCCTGTGGCTGCTGCCTCCACAGCCACTGAGCCGCTCAGGCTTCCATCTGCCAGGAGCATCGTGTAGGTGGTGGCCAGGAAAGGAAAGAAGGTCCAAGTTAGTCTATTCGGTTGCTTGGTAACTGCTCCCAGGTTTATTTTAATGCCTTTTCTTATTACGTGGGAATCTGAGTTAATTCTGGTTTCAGTGGAGAACACCTGTCTCAGTCAGCATGTTTTTGGTGTTGACATGATTTTAAACATGCACACAACTGTTGCGCAAGGTGGGCAATTAAGTTGGCAACGGATGGTTGTCATTCATATGGGCACAGGGCTCCCTATGTTTAAACTGCATTTCTGTCTTTGATTCAGAACAAATTTCTCAAGTCTATTATGAGTGAGGAAATGAGTCTTTCTTTAGATGCGATGCCACCAGCATGGTAGCCACCCGGCAGTAGCAAATATCCAAGTCATGTCCCCAAATAGGGACTCTGAAAATAAGCGTGTGTGTTTCAAAGGCATCGCGCCAGGCGAGGGAACAGGTTTCTGGATTTTGTTGCATCCCTAAAAATCAGGGAGATCTTACGTTACCAAAGGCTAATTTATTCAGCCTAATTTAAACCTGAGTGATCTTGTAAAAATAGAGAGAGGGTTTACAAGTTGTGACTTTGAACAGATAAGAATGTATTCCTAAGGTGTGAATCTCTTGGAAACAAGACTGCCTCGTGACAGGGCTCCTGCAGGCAGTGAGCTGTGGGACTCATGGGTATGGGTCCTGGACCCCCTGTGGGGCCCCAGGATCAGAGCTGCCCTCCTCCTCTCCCTCTGCCCCAGCACTGTCCCCCCCCCCCC